ACTTAGGATTTAAAGGGTTGTGGAGGCTCCACTTACCCCTAAACTGAACCTTGAATTGACTTTGAACCCTAAACCCGAAACCCCCCAAAGCCTCAACCTGAAACCCGAGCAAATCTTCTCTCTAAGGATCTGATGTGTGGGCTCTTGCTCGCCGTTGACGAACTGCTTCAAAGGCGTCTCCTTAGTAGGGAGGCTACGTACTGGAGCATTTTGCGTTTACCTCCAGGCTCCATAGTAGTTCCTTTTTGTGGTTCATATACTTAGGATCCTGTAGGTAATCCCAAGAACAATGGAGCCTCTGGGTAGGTTTGGGCTACTTAGCCTTTTGGGTTGAGGGTTTACCTTAAGGGCTTCGGCAGAGATTTGTGGGGGGGGTCCTAAACCCTAAACCCTAAACCCTATAAACTGAAGCGAGCTGCGGGCGCTGCGAATAGCAGCAGCGAGCGTGCCGAAGCGTCAGTGAGGCTGGCTCCGGAGCTGGCGCGACAGGCGCAGCGGAGGAGCCCCAGCACCATGGCCCTGAATCCCTGGTGGCCTGGCCCTGGCCCTGGTGCCCTGCTTGCCCTGCCCTGCCTGCGCCCTGCGGACCAGTACTGGTCCTTTTGAAGTCATTACCTTCCTGGAGGCCGAAATCTGCCCACCCCCGAAAAAGGGACCCCCCGGGGGCTTGGAAGCTCCAGCGAGCAAAGTTCCAGGACCTAGGGGCCTCCTGGCTGGTCCTACGGGGGACTTGGACAAAAGCTGCGTTTCCGCGTTTCCCTGCCCCCTGGTCTGTGCTGGCCCCCTAGCCCCCTGGCCTTCCCTGGCCCCCCTCCGGCCCCCCTGGCCTCCCCCTGGCCCTTACCTCCTGCCGTACTCTGCTTTACTCTGCCCTGCCTTTTCGGAGCAGAAGCTTGGCTGCAGAATTGTGTGGTTGTTGTTAACCAAAATGGACCTAACAGAGTTTAGGTCCCAAACCCTAAAAGGTATAGGTTTGGGTGGTTTGCCGCCTCAGACGGCGTGGGGTGGGTGAGTTATGTGATGGCCCGCCATAGCCGGGCCATGGCTGCGATTCGCAAGCAACAAAACCGCGAATAAACCTACAATCCCTGTTACACTACTGCTACGCAATCTTGCAGCAAACCCTAAACCCTAAACCCTAAACCCTGAACCGTGAACTTCGTAAGTCGGTCGCTGTGGTTGTGCCAAGGCTGCTCGGGGGCTTCGTACTTGTCACTTGCAGGGTCGGGGGACTTAGTAACTGGTTATTTTAAGGGTTCCTTAAGGGCCCCTTTAAAGGGATCTATAGGGATTCTATAAGGGTTTAGGGTTTGGGGGACTTAGGAACTGGTTATTTTAGGGACTTAAATGTACCATAACCCCATTTAGGGTCCCTTTTTGGGTACTTATAAGTCTACTGACTACCTACTTACTAAGTCCCCCGACCCTCCAAGCGCGGTTTAGGCTGTACCTGTAGGCACATACCCTACCCCTTTTTCAAGGTATCTACATGTCTATACAACAGATCCTAGCCATAAAACCAGGTATCCTAAAAAAGGGGTAGGGTATGAGGCCCACAGGTAGGGTCTGGGGATGGTTTTGGGTTGGCATTTTTAAATTTAAGCCTCCGAAATATCTTCGTAAATGAGATCCCTACCTAGTTAGTTAATAATCTCACCACCCAATGTCCAGAATCCTTGCTAGATCCTAGAATCAGACCTTGCCGGGTCCCCTGTCGAAGCGTTTTGGGTGTAGAGTTTGTTCAGATTCCTTCACGGGATGCCTGGATGCCATCTTTCTCCATACTGATACATAAAGAGGCCCCTAACACCCCGAACCCTGAAGCCCGAAACCCTACTACGCACGCAAGCCTAAGAAAAGAAACTGCTTGAGGCCAATCCACGTTGCCTACTTGGCCGGTATCCTAGGGGAACTAAAGGTCCGGGTTTAGGGATTACGGTTTGGGGTCATACTACCCCAAAAAGGTTAAAGGTTACCTACTCTACTACTTAGTCGTGCTACCGTAGAGACTGCTTGGGATCTCTCACTCACACACTTGCATGATACCTTGAGGGCCTTTAGGACTTACATAAAGCTAACAACAAGCCTTACCTTTTGCGGGTATATATTAAAAACAAATCCAGGTAAGGTCTCAGCCTGCCAAACCCTAAACCCTATATCCCTAAACCTGACGCACAACGAGCCGGGGCACGATGAGTTCATCAATCTCCTCTTTAGACTCGAAGAGGTTAATACCTTCGGAAATTTGGAGCTTCGGATGACGCCTTTGAATACTATAGGGGCCTTAACGTTGTTTCAAGTGCTTCTGCCAGTCCAAGCGCTCAGCAAGCCCGACGGGCTGGAGTTTAGTGGTCTAGAGTCCAGAGATGTGTGCAGTGTGGAGTTGTTGGGGAACTACTCTAGGGGCCTCATTAATTAGAATAGGGTTTTGGGGCCCATTATACCATAGTTTTAATTTGGAACCCCCACAATGGCATTGGTATATATTAAGGCCCCTATATTAGGGGTTTCTAGGGCTTGCTGTTTAAGACATGGCATCCAGAGGAGGACAGATAAGGGGTGGCACCCTCATGTCTGTCGTTGTTGCTAACGTCCTGAGCTGAAGACTGCACCCACAAGCGACAATGCCTGACACAACCCCCTTTCAAAACTCCAGAACAACAACAAAGCCCATCCGACAAAAACTGCAAGAACACTTCGGAGCCCGCCTCCTATGTTGGTTACTGGCGACTAGGAAAACCGCTATAGGCGGCAATTTGTCACAGGAGCCTTCTGCGACTTTCCGCACGCCGGCAACATCCTTCTCCGAAGCGGCCCGCGGCATTGCCACTGAAGCTTCAAGTAAGCTCAGATCGTGAGGACGCAACACCCCACCCTAAAACCCTAAACCCTAAACCCTAAAACCCTAAACCCTAAACCCTAAAACCCTAAACCCTAAACCCTAAGGGGGGTTCCAGTTCGAGGCGTAGGTTTTCCAATGCAGAAGCCACTAGCGCCGGTGTGCCAGGGCGCCTGCTACGATCAAGGGGAATATTGAGCCGAAAGACAGCGCAATCAGGCAATGAAATCCGTCTAACCAGTGGTTTTGGGGTTCCCTTGCCTTACTAAGTAGGGATTATCATTACCCCTGGCTCCTTAGCTCCTCCAATATCAATGGTTAGCCGTTGAAACTGGTAGAAGCCTGTTGCTCGCAACAGGTGATGTGGGTAGTGGTCAAAATTAGGGTCCCTAATTGGGTACCCTAAATAATAGGTGCCGTACTTTCATAGGGACCGAAAAAGGGACCATAATTTTGACAACCACCCATGTAGGTTTCCCAGGTTGGCCTCCGGTCATGGCGGTAGGTGTTTGTCTTGTTGAAAGTATTGCTCGCTTGTTTGTTTTTGTGACCGTTTGTTCGATTGCTCACTGGATCGATCGATGGATGCATCGATCCATCGGAAGAGCAATTGCTTGGCTGATTGATTGATTGGTGGATTGATTGATTGATTGATTGAATGATTGAATGATTGAATGATTGAATGATTGAATGATTGAATGATTGAATGATTGATTGATTGATTGATTGGTTGATTGGTTGATTGGTTGATTGGTGGATTGGTTGATTGGTTGATTGGTTGATTGGTTGATTGGTTGATTGGTTGATTGGTTGATTGGTTGATTGGTTGATTGATTGATTGATTGATTGATTGACTGATTGACTGAATGATGGAATCATGGATGGAATGATGGATTCAAGGTTTGATTGATTGATTTGTTGGTTGCTTGATTCAATGTTGGACCGATGGATGGATGGATGGATGGATGGATGGATGGATGGACGGACGGAGGGATGGATGGATGGATGGATGGACTGTTTGGTTTGTAAACTGATTGATAAACTGATTGCTTTATTGCCTGGTTGCTTGGTTGATTGATTGATTGATTGACTGCTTCATGAATTGAATGGATGAATGAATGAATGCATGGATGGCGGGTTGATTGGTTGATTGATTGCGTGAGTCAGCGAGTGAGTGCGTGAGTGATTGAGTAGGTGAGTGCGTGCATGCACGCGTGAATGCGAGAGTGCACGAGCGAGGGAGTAAGTGCGTGCGTGGGCGGGTGGGCGGGTGGGTGGGTGGGTGGGTGAGCGAGTGCATGTGTGCGGGGGGTGGGTGAGTGAGACAGTGCTTGATTGCTTGATTGCTTTCTGCTTGACTGCTTGATTGTTATTTTTGATTGAATAAACGATCGGTTGATTGAAGGATTGATTGATTTCTTCCTTTACTTGCTGAACTACTCGCTCATTCACTCACTCATTCATTCATTCGTGCAATCACCCACTGGGTCATTCGTTCATGCCATATCATTTCGTTTCATTCTTTCATCCATTCATTCATCCTTCATTCAGTTCACTCATGTCAATTCATTCAGTCATTCATTCATTCCATCCATTAATTCATTCATTAATTCATGCATTCATTCGTTCATGCCTGTGCACTATAGTAGACTAGTAGACTACTCACTTGAACCTCCAACTCCGCAAAGGAGACACGCCAAACCCCAAACCAAAGACCCGGAACCCTAAAACCTACAGCGCCCTATGCCTACAGAGCCCTTAAGCCAGCCCCCTGGCCCCTTGTAGAACCCTGATAAAACTCCTAGGGAACCCTTAAAGAAGCCCTCATAGAAGACGACCCTCAACCTCTGGAAACCCTCAGACATGAAACCTGATGCCCTGAGTCAAAAAGCTGACCCCTAAACCCTAAACCTTTAAACCCTAAGCCGTTCCAAAGCAATTCTAAGTGCCCAAATGCTAGGGTGTTATGTGCTGACGGCCATTCAAAGTATGGAATTTGCGGAACTTGGCTGATGGGACCCTCTGGGCTGTAAACAAGCTAGTGATTAGCCGTAACCCTAAGGCTCAAATTGGCCCAAAAGCCTTATAATATGGTCTTTGGGCCCAAAAGCCTTGAAATATGAGTCCTTAGAGCCTTAGGGTAAGAGCAGCCCATAGCTGCCTTTCCGCGCTGGGCGGTGGCTGCTTTCAGCGACTCCTCCTCCGCGATTCGATCATCCTGCGCAGCGTTTAGCATGCCTGTAGCCGAAAAGACCTACCTTTTTAAGGAACTATATATAGACACCATAATAAGGAACCCTAAAAAGGTAGGTCCTTTCGGCTACAGGTGGGGGTTACAGCAGTTTCGGGTTGACGATTGACGGCTTTGAGTTTGGGGTTTACGGCTGCGATGTAGATGGTCGCTTCCCTGAGCCCTACTACAGGGGCATTAATAATTACTTATATTTTTTTTTATTTTTGAAGAGAAATATTGGTAGTTATTCGAAGCTCTCAGGGTCCTGGAGAATGTGATGTAGTGCTCGTTAAGGCGATTTGAAGTTTGGCAGTCATGCTCTCAAGGGTCTTACCCTCAACCCTAAACCATGTCTAGAGTGTAGTTCCTTTTTTGGTTAACCAGTTTTATGGATAGGATCCTATAATATACAGAGATTTTGGTTAACCAAAAAAAGGAACTACACTGGAGACTCCAGGTAGATATCTGTAATGCTCACACAGGCTGCAGAGTGACCTCGACGTCTGTGCTTGGGGGGACTTGGGATGCAGCACCTGGGGGCAGAAGTTTGGCGAACGATGTAAATTGCAATGCTAAAGGATTTTAGCATAAGTTAGCTCGGGCACTTGAACTTCAGCCTCCTTCAGCCAGCGGCTCAGAAATCGACATTTCAGCCGCAGCTCTTCATTCAAGTAGGGCTAACCGTGCATAAAACTTACAAAGCAGATCTAGATGATGAACTCGAGTACAGTAGCTTTTGGGCAGCCTGAAATGAAAGGACCAAACCATGATGGAGGTTGCCCAGGAGCTTACCCAAGTGCATTACGATTTAGGTTTACGTACACCCTAGATGCAAATCACCCCAGATCTCTTGTCCATCCGTGCCTTCAACTTCGTCACCTCCTGCTGAAGGGCGACAATCTCTGACTCCTGGACAGCCGGTCAAAACTATAAAGCCTGACACTCGACACTCAACCCGCTACTGCTGCTGCTCGCTACTGCGGTTGATGATATAAATCCTGCCTGACCCATAACAAGGAATACGCCATAATTCCCATAGTTTAGGGTCCTTGAGGCAATGCAGGATTTATACCATCAACAGTAGAACCCTTCTAACCCGGATCTGGGGAGGATCCAAAACGCACTATCATCAACCGTGGTACTACAGTAGAAGCCAGAAAGTTGGAATATCATTATCGTAACCCCTTTAAGGTAAATTATAGGGGATCCTACCATGAATCCATATTCTAACTTTCTGGAGTTCCCTTTACTACTGGTTTCAAGAAACCGGTGCCAAAGCTGCAAGGCGCCCGCGGCCACCACCGGAAGGTGGCAGCTACGGTTGATGATATATATATATATATATATATATATATATATATATATATATATATCTACTGCATTACCCTTAAGGGCCCCTAAACTATGGGGGAATTATCGTAGATTACTTATTGGGTTTGAAAGGCAATGAAGATTTTCGGATGACAAATGTTCAAGCTCTGAATTGATTAAAAGCCCCTTTACATCCCAAAGGAGAATGGAACCGAAACCCCACATCCGTAAACCCGAAACTCAAACTACTCCTCTCGGAATTCACCTGCAAGCGCAGAACCCAAACGACTAAAGAACTTAAAACTACCCGACTACAGAAACGGGAACGAAGATGGTTAATGCTGCATCATGTTGTGTCTCAATGCTTCCGGAACATGAATCGCTTTGGAACTCTGCACAGAAATGAGCAAACTACGGGCTTTGGGAGTCTAAACTGCAGGTATCTGCACTTCTCTAATTAACATATGGGTGGTTGTCAAAAGTATGGTCCCTTTTTGGGTCCTTATTATACCCAAACGGGGACCATAATTTTGACAACCACCCATACGAGAGAGAGACAGAGAGAGGCACAGCGCTTTAAACATCACCTAAACTTAAAGCCGTTTTACACCCTAAACCTGAACCCCTAAACCCTGAACTCCTAAACCCCAAAACCACGAAACTGTAAACTCTAGAGCCTAAACCTAAACCCTAACCCCCAAAACTGTTAGAATTCAACCGCAGGCCCTGTCTGGTCCCGAAACCCTAAACCCTGAACCTCTAAACCCCGAACCCAAACCCTAAACAAAGGCAAGCCCTCGCCGAGTCGGCTGGGCGCGTCCTTCTTTTCGATGTCAGCCTCGGACAGTTTGCTTACGGATCAGGGTTTAGGGTTTAGGGCCCATTTTAGGGTTTGGTTTTTCTATTTAGAGGGTCCTAACCATAAATATAATCGGTGAACCAAAAGAAAGGAACTACGACGGAGACTACTGCGCCGGGCCGATAGTTCAACCCACTAGCTTCAACATGCTACAAGACATGGACCTCCACCCACTTCCCCATAGACTCCTAACGCATGTGAGCCTTGGGGTCTCCGCCGGAACTAAAAAGTATTGTATTTTTAAAGCGGGGTAGTAATTACTCCGCTGGCCTGCGTAGGGCAAACGACACTTTGAGGTACTCCGCTACTCCGCAAGAGCCTGTGTGTAACATGATGCACAAGTGGGTCGAAACTTTCGGCCCGGCGATGCCTCCTGAATCGTTTCTTAGACGGGGATGTCTGTCTAAAGGGGACCCGAAGGAGGTCATGAGGTCACAGCAACAAGTTTGGCGAGGTTTGCTGAACAGAAAAGGTCCCGGTGAGGCATCGGGAGGACAAAAGTTTTGACCTACTGGATCTGTCTTGTCTTAAGACGTCTTGCGGAGTAGCAGAGTACCGAAAAGTGCGATTTACGTGGCCTGGCCAGCGGAGTATTTTATACCCCGTTTTGAAATTATACTACTTTAATGTTCCGGAGGAGTAGCCGGTTGGTCCTGCTTGTTAGGATTCTATGGGGGAATGGGGGCCTGTGTTCGACGAAAGGAGTAGGTCAAACTTTCGTCCGACCGCAGTAGTGGTAGATAAGTACCTCTTGATGAGAAATGGGATTTCCGAAAATAGGGGACCCTAATAAGTAGCCTATAGTAGGATCCTTTTTGTAAGGACCCCTAAATAAGGTACCCTTAATTTCGGAAACTCCCAAATATCAGAGCCCTTAAAGGGAACTTGGGGGTTCCTGGTGAGACCTCGGGTTTAGGATCCATTGGGGTGGTTGTCAAAATTCGCCTCGGCCCCGGCCGAAGCGGTCAGAGGTTCCTATTCGGATTCTCCTATTCCCCACCTCTTAATCCCCTCCAGTGACCCCAAAATCCTGGCCACCGCCCCCCCCCCCCTCCCCCCCCTCCCGCCCCCCCCATTCCCCCTTCCCTCCCACCCCTCCTCCGCTTGCTGACAGGTGCGAGCTTTCTGGAGTTTTCGACACGGGACTGCAATGTAGCATCTTTATGTGCGTCTCAGGCTTGTTTTAGACGCCCTATCGTTGGGATAGGCGGAGTAACGTGGTTGAAAAGGCTGTGATGCTTCCCTAATCCAAGACGCCCACGAAATCCACAGCCTCAACGGCCCATACTTAAGGCATCCCGCCGCTTGCGAGAGTCTTGGTATCCAGTGTTTCGGAATGACGACACCAAAATTCGTACTGATACTACCACTACTAATACTACTCACAATCATCCTGCTTCGTGTTGCTATGAACATTACTTTTACTATAAGTGCGATTCCAACTGTTACTTTTTTCCTACAAGAGCTTGCTGCAGATAGTAGCCACTCGCCGCATGCGCGTACAGCCGGGCCGAGGCGGACGACGCGCAGCGTTTCAAATTATGGTCCCTGATGGGTACCCCAAAAAATTAGGTGTTCAGGGCCTGGGGGAATCAAAGCTGATCTTGGGGCTACAATAAGGGGTAGTTGGGGGATCTATAAGCAAACTTAAATACCCCAAACCGCTGTTGCAGAACAACAGCGTAATTAGTGGCTTCACTCGAAGCCATATGGGTGGTTGTCAAAATTAGGGTCCCTTTTTGGATCCCCAATATAGTACGTCACCTAATATGTAGGGTACCCAAAAAGGGGACCCTACTTTTGACAACCACCCATATATATTCATTACACTCCATCCCTGACGTCAGAACCTCCGCAAGAACTGCAAGCAGTGCTGCTGGCCTAAAACCCTAAGCCCTAAACCCCTAAACCCTAAACTGCTGGTTGAGCTCAAGTCTTAGATTCGCAGACCTCGAGTACTGCCACCTGTGCGCTGTAACATAGGGGCCTTAATAGTTAGAATGGGGTTTTGGGGCTCATTATACTATAATTCTATTCAGGAACCCCAAAATAGTATTGGCAATTATTTAGGCCCCATAGTACAAAACTGTAATGTTGGCAATCAATGTTGCTCCCAAGGACCATGCTGGTGAATGTGATTCCTTGATCACTACTCCCTGCCAGCGGCCGGAAGATTTACATTCTGCGCCGGCTCCTGCAAATGGCCATGAGCAGTGATGCGCATTCTTCCAGCCTGGGAGGATGTTGGCAGCCGAAGGCTGGACCATGCTCCCATGCGTGGTGGAAGATGGCAAACGGCAGGCGCCCGCTTGCCAACGTGGAAAAGTCAACCCCAGCGCCCAGACGACATGCATAGGTGGCCGCCGAGTCGTCTGCCTCGGGGTCGGAAGGACTCGGGATCACCGGCAGCGGCTGTAGCACCAGTTGATTCCAAGCAAAGCCCTAAACCCTAAACTGCGTGAGCCTTGCACCAAGAGGTGGGTTTAGGTCTGCTGTCTTAGGGGTCCTAAATTGGTCTCTGTGTACCTGAAGCCCGAGGCCAAACCCGAAGTAGCCTAAAGCCACCAGCATGCACCGTCAACTGCAAAGGATAACAGGGTTTTTGCTGGGCTCGAATATGACACGGTAGTTCCTTTTTGGGATTAGCTTATCGGACCCTATATGCAGCCCAAAAAGGCACTACTATGGGGCCTATGGGTAATTCGGTGCAATAAAGAAAACCTATCGGAAGGCCATGGCAGTCTTGTAAAGGCAGTCCTAAAGCCCCCCAAAGCCTAAACCCGAACCCTAATAGGGTCTAGGATTTATATGGGCTTAGGGTTTAGGGTTGAGGGGTTTAGGGTTTAGGGGTTAAGGGTTTAGGGGTTCAAGGGTTTTCAGGGGTTTAGGGTTTAAGGGTTCTTCAGGGGTTCGGGTTTTCAGGGGTTTAGGAGTTCAGCGCTTCGTTAAGGGTTTAAGGGTTCAGGGTTTAACCGGACCTGGATCGATGACTCGAACCCCTGAACCGTTAGAGTAAACTCCATAAAGTTGGAAAATGGAGTAAGGCCAAAGAGTGCGGGGATTCCCGATACATGACTCTTCAGGATTGAGGCTATTGGGTTTCCAACTTTTGGGCTTCTACTATAAACCCTATACCAAACCCTAAACCCTAAACCCTAAACCCTAAACCCTAAGCCCTAAGCCCTAAACCCTAAACCCTAAACCCTAAACCCTGTGGGCGCCCCGGCAGGCGAGATGGGATTGCTTTCCGCCTGCCGGCTTTGGGAGTTGGTGTTCCGGGTTCCTGGGAGGATGATGGGACTTAGAATGTAAGGAAAGTTACACACTGCCAATTATTAATCATACCTATACTATAGTTACCCTAACCTTATTAGTTCATACTGCCAACTGCTAATTTAAGTATTCCTATACTAGAGTTACCTCTACATTAATTAGCCCTTATTAATTTATAACCCAAGTTACTAAGTCTCATGATCCTCTGATTACAGCGTCTTGAAACTTTCAAGGTTCATAGTCCAGTTGAAGCTGCAACCTGGAACGTTGAGAGGCCGGTAGCATCGGGATCCGGAATATCTTTCGATACTGTTCATGAATAAACCATGGGCTGTGGATTGTACAATATGACATAATGACGTAATCATGGGTCGAGGAATTTTGTATTGGGCCGCTGCGATGGCCGGAAACCCCAAAATAAAAAGTTGGGGGCTTTCTGGGTGTAGGGCTTGCTGCGCGGGCTTTCGGTGTTAGAATCGGCCTCTTGCCGTCCATCATACTATGACCCTATTGCATACATTCAAATTTATTGCGGCTCATCGTCTATACATCTGTCGTGATTTGGGTAATAGGTGGGGCCGCATGTCTTTTGGGTGTGGGGCATCTGCAAGAAGATACCAACACACTCTGGCGATTCCACCCCTATGCCTGCATGATGTTCTCCTCCAGCTCCTTGACGGTATTCTTGCCTGTCTTTTCCCAGACCCCCGGGAGGATCCAAAAAGTAGATCCCTTAATTGGGGGTTCCTATAAACCACCCTTAGTAGTATAGGGCCCCAAATTCGGGGATCTACTTTCTAGATCCTCCCGGGGGCCTGTCTTTTCGGAGCGATCTTGATTTCTACAAACCTTAAGCTCAGTCCTGGGCCAGCCCCTCAGCCTCTGCACTACAGATCATGCACACCTGGGCCCTAAAGGGAACTCCAGAAAGTTGGAATATGGTTTCAGGGTAGGATACCTCATAATTTACCATAAAGGGTTTAGGATAATCATATTCCAACTTTCTGGCTTTTACTTTAAACCCTAAATTAAATCCCAACGAAAGAGGGATGGCCCCGACAGCTGCCGCAGCAGCTACCGAAACAAGGACAGGGTATGGAATTTACGGCTGGCCGGGCTGGGCTACTAAACCCTCACCTCTCAACCGCAAACCTCTTGGCAGAAATGTCAGGGAGCCTAAACAGATCAGGATCTTGAAAGCAAATGGGCGACATTTGGCAAACCTCGGCGACGGGCAACCAGATGGCTGGTGAGGCCGTCCTCATTCAGAGCCCAGGATACTCAGACATGCAGATTGGCCCTCCACCACACACCCTAAACCACTGCACCCCCTGAACCCTAAACCCTGTAAGCCCTACAAGCCCTCTAAGCCCTAAACCCCGCCAACCTACCCCAAGACCCTGAAACCAACACCCCAGAAGCCCGCGATCTGCACCCCAAAACCTACTAGAGAAACCTGATTAAGAAACCTTGGGTATTTATCAGGGTTCCTTTAAGGGGTCTATAAGGGTTACTATAAGGGATCTATAAGGGTACTAGAATGATGTAGGAACCTGATTAAGAAACCTTGGGAATTTATTAGCGGTTCTTATACGAATCCTACTATTTTGGGGTTATGGCCCTGGGTTTCTTAATCAGCTAAGTACATTACACCCTCTTGAACCCCAACCCCCTGAGCTTATACTGGGACACTTTGTTGTCTTAGTGTGCAGAGTCAGCAAGGCGGGACACTGAGCTAACTAGATGTCCAAGTCGACTTACAAACCTTGAACTGCGCACCCTAAACCCTGACACAATAACCTTACACACTAAGCTCTATGTAAAGTCCTAAACCCGTAAACCTTAAACTTAAACCCTAAACCCTAAGCGCTACACTCCGAAAACTACCCCTTATTGTAGCCCCTAACTACCTCTTAATGAGCAATATCAGAGCCCTGTAAAAGGGAACCTGGGGGGGGGGTCCTGGTAAACCTTACACCTAAGGCCACATGCCCAGACCCCCGGGAGGATCTAGAAAGTAGATCCCCTAATTTGGGGCCCTATACTACTAAGGGTACTTTATCGGAACCCCCAATTAAGGGATCTACTTTTTGGATCCTCCCCGGGGTCTGGGTGGAGGCCATGGTGCAGTAGCAATCGAACTTCTCGTAGAGATCCGACCTGGGACTTCCGGCTTCGCTTTGGAGATTAGAGGTTTACGGGTTTAGGGTTTATAGGGTTCCCTTAAAGGGGATCTATAGGGGCTTATAGGGTTCCTTTAAAGGGGATCTATAGGGTTCTACTATATGGGGAACTCCAGAAAGTTGGAATATGGTTTACTAGACCCAAGAGTAACCTAGGAATAAAAAGGGCGCCCTTTTGGGTTTAAAGGGGCTTATAAGGGAACCGGAAACCCTAAAAAAGGGAATAAGGGCCTACTCTAGGTCCTAGTTTAAGGGTTTAGGGTTTCAGGGCCAGGGGCTTACGAGTTTAGGGTTTTGGGGGCTTTGGGTTTAGGGGTTTAGGGTTTAGGGTTTAGGGTTTATAAGGTTTTGGGGGCTTTGGGTTTAGGGGTTTAGGGGTTTAGTTCAGGGGTTCAGGGTTTCAGCGCTTAGGGTGGCTTCTGAACGCGCTAAATCATTGACTTATAAAGCCTACTTGAATCCTAAAGATAATTCCGTTTTGGAGGGTTCCTTATTATGAATGCCCGTTGTAAGTCTGGAGTTATAAAGAAGGGTGGTCTGTTGTTTGGTTCAGGGTGGGGAAGCCCCGATGCGGTAAACCTTGAACCCTAACGGTTGATGATATAAATCCTGCATTACCTTAAGGACCCTAAACTATGGGAATTTTGGTGGAATCCTTATTATGGGTCATGCAGGATTTATATCATCAACCGAAGCAGTACTGTGCTCAGTTTTTGCGACAGGATACGTCGACCTAACTGTATATAATTAACATCTGAACCATATCGCGACCTCTGAGTGGACAGTGGAAGTGCATCTGTAGCTATGCTAAACGCCCCCCGAACTCGCAAGAATCAGGCGAATACCCCTAAACCCTAAACCTTTACCATCCTGGGCCTTTATTAGGGTTCCTAATATGAATCCTACTACTTTGGGGGTTACAGGCCCAGGGTTTCTTAATAAGGTTCCTGCATCAGTGTCCACTGGGATGTAGCGAACCAGCATGACAGCGGGCTGGCGCGCGTCCAGGGAGCGCTTTCTTTGCCATCCCACGACTTCATAGTATGTGCAGGCTGGGTTGCTTGTCCGTTCCCCGTAACCCAGACCCCGGGAGGATCTAGAAAGTAGATCCCCGCCCTACACTACTACGGGTACTTTATAGGAACCCCCATTAAGGGATCTACTTTTTGGATACTCCCGGGGGTCTGGGAAGGAGATGACGCCAGCGCAATGAACCCATCGACCATAGCAGCCACAGGCAAGCGCTCCACCGGATAGCAGCTCAGCTTATTCAGGCCGTGCCGGGTTTAGGATTTAGGGTTCACCTAGGGCCCCCCAAACTGCCCTCTAACATACCCTAGATAATCACTATTAGGGACCGTAAAGGATCCCTTAATTAAGGACTTTTTGGGGGGCTCCTTTAAGGGATCCCTTAGAGGAACCCTTACGGGATCCTTTAAGGGATCCATCGCAGAGCAGTTGGGAGATCCGGGTTGAGGGTTTGGGGCTTGGGGCTATACGCGAAATGGCGAGGCACTAGCCGCATCACCTGACCGGTTGAGGGTTTAGGGTTTAGGGATTAGGGTTTAGGGATTAGTGTTTAGGGTTTAGGGATTAGTGTTTTGGTTTAGGGTTTAGGGATTAGGGTTTAGGGATTAGTGTTTTGGTTTAGGGTTTAGGGATTAGGGTTTAGGGATTAGTGTTTTGGTTTAGGGTTTAGGGATTAGGGTTTAGGGATTAGTGTTGGGTTTAGGGTTTAGGGATTAGGGTTTAGGGTTTAGGTTTCGGGACATACAGCCCCAATGTTAAGAGGCCCCATGTATAAGGCCTTGCCCCACCTGGAAATCCGATGAAACTTTCCGTCCTAGGCAAAAAGCTGCATCATCCTTCTACAACCCACGTTGAGCTACTAAACGCCTTCTACATCCTCTCTTTAAAGTGAATGAGCTCCTAGGACGTCAATTGAATTAAAAAAAACTTTCTAAACCCCTGGCCCTAAACCCCAAACCCTAAACCCTAAACCTCTAAACCCCTAAACCCTAAACCCCTAAGCCCTAAACCCGAAACTCCTAAACCCCGAAGCCCTGCCGCAGAGTTTTTTTTATTTTGCTCATCGTCCCAGCTGCTCCTTCTCTGCCTCAGACTCGATCTTCTCAGACATCTTCTCCATCATGGTGATCACCTGCTCGAACGGTTTAGGGTTTATGGCTTCAGGGATTCAGAGTTTGGGGCCTAGGGTTTAGGGGTTTAGAGGCTTGATTCGGGTTTTCTCTACGTGATCACCTGCTCGAGTTGGGATATGGGTAGTTTTATCACGTTTCGATATGGGTCTGGTAAGGGCTCATTATGGTGATCACCAGCTCGAACGTGGTTTTGGAGGTTCAGGGTTTGGTGGCTTAGAGTTTAGAGGTTTGGGGTGGGGTTGGGGGTTTTGGGGTTATAGGGTTCTCTCTACTCCCTTGTCACGCCCATCTCGGAGGCGAATCGCCGGAATATGCGCGCTTGCGTCTGTGTGCCTTGCGGCTCGCGCATTGCACTGCACAACCCTGAAGCAGGAAACGTTCCAGGCGTCGTGACACCTCCCGAGCGCAGGATGATGGCTTCTGCCTGCATGTCCATCCTGGTGATAGACATAGCCCATGCTGTCGACAGAGGTCTTCGAAGAAGCACTGGATGCTCTAGGCCTTCGCGCATCGACTCGAACGTTGGGGAAGCTCCAAAAAAAACACGAGGCGCCGAATCCAAATGCTCAGACAGCAAGCAGACTTCCCAAACCACCGCTCCCGGAATCCTGAACCGCAGTTTAGGGTTTGTAGGGGTTTATCGTTTAAACATAAACTTCCCGAAACCCTCAACCCTAAACCCCTTAAGCTATAAACCCTAAAACCCTAAACCCCTAAAAGCCCTAGTCCCTAAACCTTAAACCCCTAAAAGCCCTAAGCCCTAAACCCCTAAAGGCCCTAAACCCTAAACCCCTAAAAGCCCTAGGCCCTAAACCCTAAAACCCCCCAAACCCGATAGGCCCGAGCCCTCGCTAGCCGGTCCTTGCGGATGGGATTCCCGCCATTGGCGGCATCCGTGCGGGTTGTGATGGAGGCACCTTCCCACACACAAAACCTTAATCCCCTTCCTAGGACCTCTGATAAAGACTTGAGCTATCTCTTTGTGGCTAAAAGGGTTGACCTTTTCATTGCAGTAGCTTTTCCCCCAGAAAGCTGAAGCTGAACCACCCCGGCTCCTAAGATCTTCCTGAGTGAAGCACTGTCGGGAGTTTCTGGTTCTCCGGGGTTGTATCAGGGAGGTTGAGGCTCCCAGACCCTACCTATAATATACCCGCCTGAGAACAATAACAAAAACGATGTTTGTAGTACGTATTCTCTTGGGTTTTTATATGAACAAAAGCTAATTTAAAAGGAGACTACAGTATAGGGTCATGCCCTACAGTGCCCCTTCTTGGGGGTACCTACTTGTCTGTAGATGCTTGTGTCAGGGTTCAGGGTTGCGGCTGAGGATTTAGCCTTAAACTCCACGCTCTAGAAACCTAGACCTCCCAACAAGTGTAAACCCTCTGAGAAACTTATATGGGTAATTGGTAAAAATTATGGCCCCTTTTTGGATATTGGGTGCCGTATTATAATAAGGACCCAAACAAGGGGACCCTAATTTTAATGACAACCACCCATATAGTAAACCCTACGCATCCCTAAACCTCAACCCTAAACCCCAACTCCGAACCCCAAACTCTGCAACTCAATCATCTGCTTGGCCTGTGGCGAGTAGCACAGCAAGCAACACCTTGCAGACATGAACTCTGAGGGCTTATGGCTTGGAGCTCGGGAGTTTTAGGGTACAGGGGTTTGGGGGTTTGGGAGTTTGGGCTCGGCGGTTCTAGGGTCTAGGGGTTTTGGGGTATAGGGATTTGGGGGCGAGGGAGTTTGGGCTTGGGGTTTTGGTTAGGGGTTTAGGGTTAGGGGGTTTATTAGGGGGTTCTGAGGGTTTGGGCATTAGGGCTTGCTATCGGGCAGCACAAGATCCGAGCAGTGCTTGTCGTGATACGACAGCGATATTTTGGGGGCATGGGATTCAAAGCCACGGTTTAGGGTTTAGGGTTTTGGGGCATCGTGGGAGTTTTGGGGGTCCAATTCCAAAACGGTAGTATACTTGGACCGGACCCTCTAGGTTACCATTGACTGGGCTAATTATTTGCTTGTTGGCAAGCTAGTTAGTCCTGAACACACAAAGCATCTCGCACAAACCCTCACTTTGACTCCTGCACCCTGAAACCCATTACGAATTAAGCCCCTTAGTGGCTGAGTTCATAAGCCCAAAGCAGGGTGCATCGTTCTACAAGGGATAATTACTACTATCCCCAAAAGACTCCTAATTAGAGCCTCAAGCCCCAGACCGCAAAACCCTTATAAACCCTAAATCCCAAACCCTCAACCCTAAACCCCAAACCCTAAACTCTTAAGCCCCAAACCCTAATTCTTTACACGCTAAGGCCTGACATGGCAGAAGCAGGAACAGAAAGAAGCGAGCCACGATGTGATTTCCCACCTTCCCCTGAACCCTGAACCCTGAACCTGAACCAGAACCATACACCCTAAACCTTAGGTAGCTTAAGATTTGCTTCTTACTCGCTTGGGGAAGGTGAAGTTACGAGTCTGGCTCTCGCGGAAGAACCTACGAATTGAGGTTTAATGGCCCTACTTGGGGCATCGTGGGACTCAGCGAGTACAGTTACAAGTACCCGAATTGCGGTTCTAAGAAACTATAACTATGGTAACTATAGCTACCTTAAACTTGGTTTTAACCCAAGTTACTAAGTGCCATGCTCCTGTAAGTACATGTCGTGCCACAAGGGTTCGGTGAGGGTTTGCTTGGGTTCTGGGTGTACAATTTTTGGGGCTAGGGACCAAGGCTTTAGGGTTCAGGGTTTACAGTTTAAGGGTCTAAGGTTTGCGTTGTTTATAATTGACTCGATACGGGCTCTCTGCTGCTCTTCTTGAGGAACTTACTCTCAAGGCACCATGTAAATAGCAACCCTGAGGTCCCAACTCAAGAAGGTTTCTTAACCTATACCTAGGATGTCAATGCCCTAGTGGCATCACCACAACAAGAACACAAACTCCCATGAACCCTAGTGTTTACCTGAAACCCAAAACGCTAGGGTTTAAGGTTTATGGTTTGAGTTTGAGAAGAACCTAAAACTAACGAAGGGAGCTGAACTGCCCTAGTCGAGTGCCGAATTACCGTTCAAGTCGGTGCCAGTAGACCGTACACCCTAAACCTACTGTAGACCCCCGATCAATAGCCCTCGTCCACTGAGAGCCCATAACCCAACATCCTCACAACCGCTGGCAGGCGAAGGGCCAAGGTGGACTTCATTGTGGAGTTCGGGGCCTCAGAACGAAGGTTTAGGATGGTTTAGGGGTTACTTGGAAGGGCAGGGGACTTAGTAAGTAGGTTATAAGTAGAGTTATAAGTACCCTAAATGGAGTTACCCAATTATAACCCTACTTATAACTACTCATTAAGTCCCCTGCCCTTCCAAGTAGGGTCTGGGTCCATGGCTTAAGGTTTGAGACTGTCACAGGCTCAGAGAGTTTGGCAATGTAGCGCTTCAGGATGGCCATGTGTGCCTGATGTTGAGGGATTCGTTGTTCAATTTTTAGCGTCGCCTGTGCATGTTTGCCCGGTAACTTCTCTAGAAGGTAAATGTAGCATGGCTGTGGGTCCTTCGGTTCGGTTTGAATGCATAGTTCAATTGACTTACTTAGTCTTGTTATTTTATTTTCCTTCAATGGGGACCCAGTTTTGAGCCCGCAGTGGTGTGCCTCCTGTGCGATATGCTGTGCGGCTCAATTGCTTGCTGGTTCAGGCTTGAGGGCTTACGGTTCGACATTTATTGAATTTTGCTTTTGGGGATGGTTACAATGGATACTGGGAGGTGGATGTGGTCCCGGTTTGGGGTCTACGAAAAACAACAGACTTGCCAAGAAGAGCCGGGGAGTAGGCAGCGGCTGTGAGAAGGTTTCGGAAATTTTAAACACCGGCATTGCATCCGCAAAGCTTCAACTCCTCCTTCGTTTATACACATGCGCATACATCTTCATACTTATGTTGCATCCTATATTCCACTGCTTGCAGCAAGCTAGGAACAGGCCCAAGGAAAACTGGAGCCCGGAGAAACTGGGACGGCGGCGCAGGCGGAAGAAGCGGATTCGAGGGCGGACCCACTTCGATATCTCCGGCGTGACTGCTGTCCCGCTTAAGCCAAGGGATCGGCGAACTACGGCACTGGGTTTAGCCTCCGAAGGGTCTAGCTTGAAATTCAACTTTGGTAACCTGAGTCAGCCTCTGCTTGTCTTCCGCGGAAGCTACAGCTGGCGAGCATGATATTCATAACAACTCGCTATTCCTCCAGGATCTCTTCTTCGTTCGAGGTTCGCAGCTTCGGCGCTTGCAGAGTCTTCCTGAAGCCGTTAAGCTAACTTTGCTAAAATCGACTCAAACTCCGCTTCCAACTAGGAGCTCGATCTGAATCACGCAGAGCGCGAATAGTCCTGAAACCCTAAACGCTCAAAGCCCCCGGCCACGACAATCTGAGGCAAGAAAACCCGAAGGGTGCATGTAGTCATATAGTCCCTATTTGAGAGGTTTCCGAAAAAAGGGGGTACCTTACTTTGGGGTCCTTATGATAAGGATCCTACTATTTAAGGTACTATATTAGGGTCCCCTGCTTTTGGAAACTCCCAAATTAGCTACTGTAGGCCGCTAATATAGGGGCCTCAATAATTACCTTACTATACTATTTTGGGGGTTCTCTATTATAGCTATAGTATAATGGGCCCCAAAACCCTATTCTAATAATTAAGGCCCCTATATTCTAGGGCCAATGGACCCCCAGGGAAAACCTGGTGGGTCACCCATCGGCGGCAGTCTCGCCCCCGGCCGACCCCACCACAGACGCGGACCACCTGCCAGGATTCATACATATATATATATATATATGTATATATATATATATGTATGTATGTACATGTATATATGTATATATATATATATAGAGAGAGAGATGCGGCCGTTGCAGGTTATAAGGTGAAAAAAGTTCATATAATATAAAGCTGTAAACAGAGTTTTTCCTTTAAGGGTCTACTTAGCACGTTATAACCCTAAGGGTTCTTGCGAGCTCTGCGGGTTATCCTACTTATCACCCTGATATAGGGGCCTTAGAATAGGGCTTGGGGCCCATTATACTGCAATTATGATAAGGACCCCCCCGCAATAGTATTGGTAATTATTTAAGCCCCTATAGTACTGATAATCCAGCTACTATGTTCCCTGAGCCTCCAAGGAACTGTCCAGCAACCTTGGGTCTCTCCAGGCGTGCAACTAAGTTTAGGGCCTGGGATCGAGGGTTTAGGTTTTAGGATTTAGGGGCTAGGGTCTAGCGATTATGCTCACCCAAGAAGGTCAAAACGTGCGTTGCCTCAAGAAACAGAGGGAAGCACTTCAGTCATATGTAGCGGTAATAAGCCCCAAGGCCCCCTAAACCCTAAACCGTAGGCCCAGCCCCTTAGTTTTTCTGAGCCTCGGCCGCGAAATCTGGTTCCAAGATTCTCGCCAGCCCCTCTTCGAAGCCCGCCGGAGATGCGCAATGAACCCTGGACCCGTCTACGCCGCACACCCTAAACCCCCAAACCGAAACCCCAAAACCCCAAAGCAAATTCTCTGAATTTCAACTGCCAGCAAACTCGCGAGAACCGCCTCCGCCCCCGGAGCTCCGCAGAGCTCCATGCTTCCGCCGGTCGGTCGTCACGCAACTCCGAGCCTTTGGGGCTTTTGGTTTGGGGGTTTGGGGGGTTTAGGGGGTTTGAGGGCTTTAGGGTTTAGGGTTTGGGGGTTTGGGGTTTGAGGGTTTAGTGGTTCAGGGGTTTTGGGTTTAGGGGTTCAGGGCTTTGGGGTGAGGGGGCTTTTCAAGGTTCCTTCAAGGAGCCCTTCAAAGCCGCTACAAGGTTTGAGGATTCTAGGAGTCCTATGAGGGCAGGATCAAGGGTTTCAATG